GCTAAAAAAAATATTATGTGCCATTTTGTGTGGTATTTTTGTGATTTATCATTGATTGACGCATGTTAAGTTGACAACAACGAAGTTAATGAGGTATAAGTTTATTAACACGTGTCAATGAATAATAAAGGCCATAGAAATGTCATACACAAAATGAGTGCATACGATTTGAACAAAAAGAATTGATCTCTCTAGTATTACTCCTACCAAAAAAAGGGAAAATGCACGTTTTTTTTTGTATAATTAAAAAAATAAAATATTTAAATTGAATACTTATATATATTTAATATAATTACTCAGATAACGTCTGTATTAAATACATATATATTGACAAGAAACCGAACTAAACTTTTACGTAATAATGAATGACTTTGGTTTCCTTTCTCTAGCTCAAGGTTTGTGTATGCATTGCTGAGTCATGTTCAACTAATAAAACAACTATTTATAACAATTAAAAAAAATCTCTAATCAAACAAAAAATGTTAATGAAACCTAAAACTAATTAGGAGTTATTTGAGTTTCATCATGACTTTATTTTCTATTAACTATTAGTACAACAAATTAAACTGAGAAATTAATTAATAAATATAGAGTACTTACAAGGATGTTAAGTTTTTCGTTAAACTGTGATGAGACCTTGTTTATTAACTCCTCCCTTTGTGCTCTTGAAGACACATCACAGATTGAACCAGTGACTTGATGAAAACCCTTGGCCTGCCACTGACTCAAGCAATCATCCAGCTGCCCTTGACTCCGAGAGCAAGTATGAACAGCTGCACCTAGCCCCACCAGTTCCTCCACAATAGCACACCTAATAATAAACACATTACGCACATTTATCGCACTGTAAAGATCCATTACACACTCATAAAATCTCTTCTCTCAAACTTTCTAGCAATGTTAGGTTAGACAAAGATACAATGGTGCTCCGAAATTTTTAACCGTCAAATCTTATTTTCTTTTGTTTTTACCAAAGATCCAGCGCTTAAAAGAGATAATCCAAAGTACTGTAGAATATCTAGGTTAGAAAATGGTTGTGTTGCTAGTCGCTAGATTTGGTCAGTAATAACGCATAAACATGTTTAAATGGAAATGTAGAACAACGGGTATGGCCGCTGGGTTCAAAAAACTACCTTATTTGTTAGGGTAGTAGAGTTCAAAATTTGTATCATTGGTATCTATGGTATCCATTGATTTTCTTGCTATGTATCAACCAAAAACTGGAATGAAATAGCAAGGTAGATGCTCTCATCAGCTGGGAAAACACAAACGTGAGTGACAAAAAGTGAAAGAGAAGACTATCCCCATCCCTTTGGTTCCACCAGTGACAAGAGCAGTCTTTCCCTCAAGAGACCATCTGCGACCTCTGCCATTGATCTCTGCATTCGCCATCTCTCAATTCATCCCACTTACATCTGTGCCCTTTTTATATTGGAGATGAACTAGTTACTTGTTATAACGTACCGTAAAACACGTGCCAACACATGCAAAACACATGAAAAATGCATGCACCCAAATTTGAGATATTTTCTCTCTCTCTCTCTCTCTCTCTCTCTCTCTCTCTCTCTTTTTTTTTTTTTTTTTTTTTTTTTTTTTGTGGGGGATTCTATTCTCTGCATGTAAAATTACAACTAGATTTTGAAAATTTAAATCATCACAACTTCATTTACTCTATAATCTTCCTCAACTTAGAGAGAAAAAATTTAAATCTAAACCTTCCACATGGCGACAGTATTATGTGATTATATGATCAACCTAAATCGTCTAAACAGAAGTGTTTTTAAAAGTCATCTGATAGAAGTGTTTCTTGAACTCAGAGCCAGTGAGACAACTATGTATGTTTCATTTTCTTTGAACCTCACACTAGCTTATGCGTACTAATTCATAATTTTTCCATTTACGAGTTAATTAATTGAATATACAACGTGCCAAATAATTATTATTTTTTCACTTTCTTACCTCAATAGCACTGTGAAACTAAATAATTTGAAGGGGAATATTAGCAAGCTTATCACTTCGATCTTCTCTTTCTATATTTTTGGCTTTTCTTCTCAGGTTGCAATATTACTTGATGATAGAAATGTCTATCTTTTAGACCACTTTTTCAGGAACAGTTTCCATCATGAAGCAACATTGCATAATAAAAATGAGATCTAAAAAGTAAAATGAGAAGATTAAAGTGATATAGTTTCTCCCATCCCTCAAATCTAAACAACACCTTCCTGTTGAATAAAACGTGACTAGCATCCCTCAAATCTGAACAACACCTTGCTAAGCGTGACTAATCGAAATCGAAATTCTACTCAATATCCAAATTTTTATTCTGTCTTTATAGGGACAAACTAAATCGCATTGATTCGCTTTGTTTATAAAAATCTGATTATGACCTGGCTGTTTAAAGAAACAAAACAAAGAGACCCGGCTAGCTTTTTATTCTACCGACAAAGGTCGCAAAATCCAATCTTCTTTTTTTAAGAGTAACGGATCGTATCTTTTCTTTGCCATTTTTAATTTAGTTTAGAAAAAAAAAATTGGCTCCCTTGGAATTCCAGGCAAAAACAATAGTATATAATATATCATATAAGAGCTTTTTCAGTGCTTTTGAAATATAATTGAATATACTATATGTCATGATATAAAGGTGAAATGTTTAAAAGTTATTTCTCTTATTACTTGTGTTATGTCGTATATAATGTACTAGGTCATGTTCTAGAAATACTAAAAAATTCTCACAGTATAGAGATCCATGATATATATCTTCTCTTTCTCAGACTGTATTGGCCATGCCATTGAGACTTATCTCGATATCCACTGACACATTGACAACTAATGCGTGGCTAACACATTCAAGTTGGCTATAATAATTGAGTAGCTCAAACCAAAAGGAAAAGAAAAGAAAAAGTATTTTATATACAATGATTTTTACACTAAGAAAGCAAAGGATTCGGGCTAAGTACGCAAGAAGTCAGCATAATAAATTTATATTAAACTCGTTATTTACAAGATTTAAACTCAAAATCTCATTTCTTAGGTGAAGAGTACTAATGTTGATTAGCTTAAAATTTGAAAGAATGCAACACATGAAGAATTGGATTAAAGGACCACTATTTCAAAGATACTTTTGGAACAAGAAAACAAATGGAAAATATTAGAGAGTGGAAGAGAACTTGTGTGCTTACAGTCCCACGTCAAGAGGGAGGTCGATGTCTTTTTGGTTAACTTTTGGCAAATAGATGTCATTGAGACTATTGTTTAAAGGCATACAATTCTTCCTTGCATTTTTTAATGCAATCTGTTGTTAATGGTCAAACAATGAGTTTAATACTCACACGATGATGCGTAAGAATCTCGGCAACAGGTGGGAAGAAGATATGCTCCGTTTGAAAATACTTTTTTTTTTAGAAGTATTTTTACTTAGAAGCGGTTTTTAGTATAAGCATATCGAAATTTTTAATATGAATACAAGTGTTTCAAAAAAAAAAAAAAAAGAAAAAAAAAAGAAAAAGGATTTCGAAAATTGCATAGCATGTGCTTAATCCAGAAAACTGTTCAAGATCTCTTTATACCCAGAAACATTTTGAACTATTTTTACTTAACATCATCATATTTAAAAGAGCTTTAGTTCTTTCAAAGACACTTTCAATTGGAAACCGCCCCCTATAACAAGCTAGACATATGAAGTTATGAGAATACTTGAAGAGCAAGTTGTCCAAATAATCTTTAGGTAATCTTTGGAGGGGTCAGTTGATGTTGCTTAAAGAGTTTTTGTAACATCTCTCGTCTAAGTTCACCTCAGCACTTAAGTTTAGTTATTTTTTAATCTTTAATTGTACGAAAAGAAAAAAAGGGACATATTACATGAACATAATAAGCAGTGGTGAAGTTAGAATTTTCAAATAATTTGATCATCATATCAACTAAAAAAGCTTCATTGGACTATTTCATCGAGCACCTAGTAGGCACTTACAAATTCCTACCAACACATACCGAAAGCTTATGCTAACATATGTCGACAACTACTTTTATTTTAGAGGCTTGTCAATGGTGAATGCAAGATACCGTGGAGTAATGTTGAAGATTGTCAAGGCTTGTCAACTAAGGTATTTCATCGAGCACGTGGTGATCACAATAGAGTCGCACACAAGAAGAGAGATGGAAGACAACTATGATAGAATAAAGTAGAAAAAAAAAAGTGGGAGGAGGGGGTTGTAAATTTCGTTTGCCTTAGTTGTTTATAATACAATACACAAACAAATATACATGGAGTTTTTTAAGTTGTTGATATCAAGAGCAACCAATGACCCTATACTGACTTTGTCACTGGTAATAAGATCCATGTCTTAATTTTTTCCTAAGAACACAAAAAACCTTGTATCGTAGAGTATTGATAGGAACAAGTCATCCAGTAATCTAGGATATCAGCCTTGTTGTATCTTTGAGGGGCCAAGGAAAAAGATGATGTGCAATGCTTCTTGAGGAGTTTTGTTGTTTCTCAATAAAATCTAGTCATTTGAATTTCTTGGTTCTAGTACGACCTAATGCTTGAAGTTTGAACATGTTATAGAAGCATTTTTTATTGTTCTGATCATACATGTCGATCATGTTCAATGAACTGGCGACTCGGTGGTGCTCTTTGGAGGACGTCGGAGTCTTCTCTTCATCAGGTTTGGGGGCCGTGTTTGGCGTGATCTCAGGCGTCTGTTGGGATGATGGTTCGAGATGGTGGGTTGGTGGCGTTCTGGCGGTTGCGGAGGGTAGCAAGTTGCTAGGGTTGGTTGCGGTTTTTTATTTTGTGGTGGCCTCAAGCTTTTGTTTTGGGCCATTTTTACTTTACTCTAGAGGTCCACATCTGTGTTGTGTGCTTATTGTGATTGAGCCTCTTTCTTTGTAATTATGTTGTCTTGGTAATGATTTTATCCTTTAAATAAAACCACCCAAAAAAAAAAATCCAGGCTTGGAAGCTCTTCCACTAGAGTGAAATAAAATGTCAATATACCAAATGGTTGGCAATCTTTTACTTACTTATTTAATTAGAAATTAATGTCACCTATTTTCACATACAATTAAAGCACACCACTTAGGTACAAGATTTTATTTTTCCAGACCTGCAACACTGTCTCTACAGCTGCATATGCAATTATGTATGGGGTGTGCTATCCACACATCCTTTTTTACTTCTCACATACCCTTTGTTAATTTCTGTCTGTTGATCTTCTTCAATTCATTCGATCTGACGGCCGAAAATTAAAAGGGTGTGTGGATATCACACCCCTTATGTATACATGCAGAACTATTTCCAAGTCATGCTCCTTGGAAGAGTAAGCCATTGACGGTCACCCCGCCGTCGACGATAATAGTCTGCCCAGTAATGTAAGAGGCTGCAAGTAGGCATATAAATGCTACCAAGGTAGACACCTCCTCTGGCTCTCCAGGACGTCCTAAAGGGCACCGAGAGTTTATCATCTCCAATTTCTTTTCATTTCGGAGAATCTGCATGCATAGAAGAGATAATGGATGAAAAGGGAATGGATGTGTAGGACACATATATTAGCGACGATCTTAATAATTGGTCAAGCTATTCGTAAACAAATTAATTAAGACTAAATGTATGATCTAAACTTGCTGTAAACTTTTCACCAAAAAACTTGCTGTAAACAAGTCAGGTCTAAGAACCTATACATGAATAAACAAAAGACATATGGACCTTTGGCAAAACCCAACTTTTTATTCTAATTTCGACTATGGGCTTTTGGCAGACTCATCAACGAAATACAGATTAGCTTGAAGTTATGAGATGATTGTAATATAAGAAGTTAAAAGAATTCACTTGTGTATCTTAAATGCGGTTTTGATTTTCTTGTCGCAACATTGATTGTATTTAAAAAAAATGAAAATAAAAGGCATGCGCAAGAACGTGATCCGAATAATCTTACAGGTTCAACAAGGGGAGTCGTGATGAACCAAGGCGCCACATTGTTGATCCTTATGTTATCCTTTGCCCACTCACATGCTAAGTTTTTTGTTAACTGATTCATTGCACCTGAGATGCAATAAAGAAAAGCCATACTTTGGTCTAACATTAAAAATACACACCAAAAACAGTGTAATTAAATTTTAGGTTAGTCTAAAAGTGATATAAACAATGTATGATACTTTTCAATTTTTAAATCTGATATAAGGTGTTAGTCTAAAAGTGATATTTAGATTTGAATGAATTTTTAACTAATTATAAACAATATATGATACTTTTCAATTTTTAATAAAAGTCGAAATCTATGTAAGGAAATTAACTCTAAGCACCTTTAGCGGCAGAATATATAGATGCACCATTTATTGAGACCACACCAGCAGTAGAGGACAAAAAAACAATGCTAGCAGCTTCTGCAGCTTTGAGAAGAGGATGTGAAAGTTGTAAAAAGTTGTAAGCAGATTCAAGATTGGTACTCATTATGAATGAGTAATCTTCAGCTGTGTACTCTAGCGTTGCTTTCGGTAAGACAGTCCCCACATTGTTTATCTATAACAGGACATTATTGAAAAGGTTTAGCATAACACAACGATTTTAGCTTATATGTATTATTGAAAAATGCATGAAAATTATGTGTATTAAACGTAAAAAATTACATCCATACATGTACACATCTTTGAGTTTTAAAAAACGTACAATTTTTCAAATTATTGAAATTTGAAATGTGTACAACAAACATATTTATTTACGAGAAGATGTTAAGTTTGTCATGAAAGTGTGATGATGATTCGTGATTCATGCACATATGTTATTTTAATTGATCAGTCTTCTACTTACAAGGATGTTGAGTTTGCCATCAAAAAGTGATGAGACCTTGTTTATAAGCTCCTCTCTTTCGGTTTTTGACACCACATCACAGACTGAGCCAGTGACTTGAAAACCCTTCTTCTCCCACTGGCTCAGGCAGTCATTAAGGTCAACCTCATTTCGGGAACAAGTATGCACAAGTGCACCCAGCCCTACCAATTCCTCCACTATCGCATACCTAAATATAACTTTACTAATTTTAGATAGAGCAGTTAAAAATAATTCAAACCCATAATTCTAAAACAGAAGAAAACATGGGACAAGTGGAGAAATAGAGAGAATATTGCATTGGATGTATAGGAAAATTGAAACTAAAAGAAGATTAAGGTTCTTAAGTGCTCAAATTTAGACAATCTAACCCAATTCCTTTGGTTCCACCAGTGACAAGAGCTGTCATTCCACGAAGAGACCATCTCCTCTCTCTGCTATTCATCTCTATCTGCTCTCTAATCTATCTTTATGCAAATACTTTGTGGTTTCGATTATATTTCTTTTCGATAGGATAATTATTGTATATTTTGGTGGCCAGGGAAAAGTACGCGTGCCATCTGTTCATTCAGCAACTTGCAACATTTTGTTTGCTTGTTTTGATGTGGCAAACTATGCAAATTGATTGTCAAATTTGATTTGACCAAAATTATATTTCATCCAATTTCAACATCATACAATGTCTTTCTATTTCATACAACTTTCGATTCAATTATTACACGGTGGTCCAATAGTTCAAGATGAATTCTAGACTCATATTCTATAAAGCTCATTTTGAATTTGATTTATGACACAGATGAATCATATACTATAAAAAATTGAAGTATAAAGAACACTATTTCAACAAACTTTTGGAACTAGAAAGCAAAGATACATAATTTTGGAGCTATAGAACAAATGTTAAGTATTACAGTTCGTTCAGAATGAGATCGATGTCTTTTTGGTTAATTTTTCAGCAAATAGACATGTCATTGAGAGTATTGTTTAAAGCCAGACAATTCCTCCTCCACATTTTTTGAGTGCAATCTCGTTAATGGTAATAGAATGAGTTTAATACTCACACGACTATACGCAAGAATCTCGGTAACTGATGGGATGAAAATTTGGCTCCCTTTGAAACTACCTTTCCCTTTCTTTTTTCTTTTCTTTTTTATTTTTTATTTTTTTTAAGTACTTTTGCTTAGAAGCATTTTCAAAAGAAGCATATAGAAATTTTTAATAAAATGCAAGTGTTTCTTAAAAAAAATCTTAAACATTGCATAGCATGTTCTTCTTCCGTAAAACAGTTCAAGTACTTTTTAAACAAAAAACATTTTAAAATATTTTTACTAAACATTATCATGTCTGCAAGTGCTTTAGTTATTTAAACAGCATTTCGAATTGGAAACAGGCCGTACAACAAGCTGGACATATGAAGTTTTGAGAATAGTTGATGAGCAAGTTGTCCAAACCATATTTATGTAATCTTTGGAGGGTTCAGTTGATGTTGCTTAAAGCGTTTTTCTGACATCTCTTATCTAAGTTCACCTCACCATGTAAATGAATTATTTTTTAATTTTTAATTGAACGAAAAGAAAAAAAGGGGCATATTTCATGAAACGTAATAATATTCCTATCTTAATTTTTTCCCAAGAACCAAAAAAAAAAAAAAAAAAAAAAAACTTGTATCGTTGAGCATTGATAGAGACATGCCGTCCAGTAATCCAGAAAATTAATTTTATGATCAGCCATGTAAGGAAAACGATGATGTGCAATGCTTCTTGAGGAGTTTTGTTGTTTCTCAATAAAATCTACTTATTTGAATTTCCTTCTTGTACTACCTATTGCTTGAAGTTTGCATAGATTATAGAAGCATTTTTTATTGTTCTAATCATACACATCGATCATTTCCAATGAACTGGCGATCTTGATAGTGTTGTTTGGAGGATGTCGGAGTCTTCTCTCCATCCAGTTTGGGGGTTGTGTTTGGCCGATCTCAGGCGTCTGTTGGGATCGATGGTTTGAGATGGTGGGTTGGTGGCATTTTGGCAGTGGTGGAGTAGCAAGTTGCTAGGATTTGTTGAGGTTTTTTGGGCCCAAACCTTTGTTTTGGGCCATTTTTGCTTTACTCTAAAGGTCCATATCTGCATTGTGTGCTAATTGTTATTGAATCTCTTTCTTTGTAATTTTGTTGTCTTGGTAAAAATTTTACCCAAAAAAAAAAAAAATCAGGCTTGAAAGCTCTTCCAATAGAGCGCTACTAAATGTCAATAAATCAAATGTTTGGCAATCTTTTATTTTCTTATTTAATTAGAACATTAATGATGTCATCCATTTTCACATACAATAAAAGCACACCACTTTGGAATTATTAGATACGAGATTATTTTTAGAACTGTTTCCAAGTTATTCTCCTTGGAAGAGCAAGCCATTGACGGTCACCCCGCCGTCGATGATAATAGTCTGCCCAGTAATGTAAGAGGCTGCAGGTAGGCATAGAAATGCTACCAAGGAAGACACTTCCTCTGGCTCTCCAGGACGTCCTAAAGGGCACCTAGAGTTTATCATCTCCAATTTCTTTTCATTTCGGAGAACCTGCATGCATAGAAGAGATAATGGATGAAAAGATAATGGATGTGTAGGATACATATATTAGCGACGATCTTTATAATTGGTCAAGCTATTCATAAACAAATTAATTATGACCGGAAGTATCATCTAAACTTGATGTAAACTTTTCACCCAAAAGCTTGCTGTAAACAAGTCAGGTCTAAGAACCTATACATGAATAAACAAAAGATATATGGACTTTTGGCAAAACCTAACTTTTTATTCCAATTTCGACTATGGGCTTTTGGCAGACTAATCAATGAAATACGGATTGACTTGAAGTTATGAGATGATTGTAATATGGGGTGTGATATTCACACACCCTTCTAATTTTCGACCGTCGGAACAGATGAATTAAAGAAGATCAAGGGATAGAAATCAACAAGAGGTGTGTGAGAAGTAAAAAGGGGTGTGTGGATAGCACACCCCTTGTAATATAAGAAGTTAAAAGAATTCACTCATGTATCTTAAATGCGGTTTTGATTTTCCTGCCGCAACATCGGTTGTATTTTAAAAAAAGGAAAATAAAAGGCATGCACAAGAACGTGATTAGAATAATCTTACAGGATCAGCAAGGGGAGTCGTGATGAACCAAGGTGCCACACTGTTGGTTCTTATGTTATCTTTCGCCCACTCACATGCTAAGTTTTTTACTAACTGATTTATTGCACCTGAGATAAAATAAGAAAAGCCACACTTTGATGAAACTGAGTTTCCTTATCTCAGCTTACTGAAACTGTCCAAGCAACCTGGTAGTTCACCTATGTTACCACAACAATCATGTTTCACATCATCACCAACATGTCTTACACTAGTTCCCAATGTTAACAATATATTGGTAGTACCTTTGTCTCATTCTCATTCCTCATCTCCTACTTTTGTTATTCAACCCTCAGCTTCGAGTGTGCCTATTTCTAGTCCTATTGATCATGTCTCATAACCTGTTGTTTATCTTTCACCTTTACCATCTCCTACTTCTCAGTCCATTGTTGCTCTAATACCTGATCATATTCAACTTTCCGTGGGTCCTGAATTTAGTCTAGACTATTTGCAAGTGGTGTTACCCATTGCACCATTAAATATGCATCATATGCAGACCAGAAGTAGAGTGGTATTATCAAACACAAGGCTTTCTTGAGTATTATAGAGACATCTAGTGAGATTGATATGTCTCTCATTGAGCTAGTTACATAGAACTGCTATGAAATCATTTGTGTGGATGACTGGTACGAAGGAAGAAATTGAAGCCCTTCACTCTTAAAGTACCTGGTCTCTTGTTACTCTTCCATCTCAGAAGAACTTAGTAGGGTGTAAAATGGGTTTTTAAGAACAAGAAGAATGACGATGGATGTGTTGTAATGCACAAAGCTCGATTAGTTGCAGAACGGTTCAGTTAAGAAGAATGATTGGACTACAGAGAGATCTTTAGTCCAGCAGTAAAGCTTACCACAATTTGAGATTAGTTTTGGCACTAGCTGCTCAATTTAACTGGTCTTTTAAGGCAACTTGATGTTAAAAAATGCATTTCTGCATGGCATCTTGCAAGAAGAAGTTTACATGGCACAACGACCTGGATTTGAAGATCCCAAGTATCTTCATTTGGTTTGTAAGCTACATAAGTCTTTCTATGGCTTAAAACAAGTACCACAGGCTTGTAATGAAAGATTCACATCCCTTATTCCTTCCCTAGGGTTTCAATCTGCATATTCAGACTCCTCTCTTTGTGTTGGTTCTGACATAGTGGTCTTACTTCTTTATGTTGATGACATAATCCTAACTGGCAGTGCCACAGTTGCTATTCAACATGTCATTGATTCTCTTATTACTGAGCTTGATATCAAAGATTTGGGACCATTGCATTATTTTTTTAGGCATTCAAATATCTCATACAACAACTGGTTTGTTTTTGTCACAAACCAAGTACATTCAAGACTTAGTGAACATGACAGAAATGAGTGATTGCAAACCATGTAACACTCCACGCTTACCCTATAATCAACTATTGAATGATGATGGGCTTCCATTTCCAAGTGCTCAAACATATCGAAGTATAGTTGGTGCTTTACAGTACCTTACTTTTACTCATCCAGATATTGCATTCTCAGTGTATCAAGTGTCTTAGTTTATGCAACAACCTATGGTCTCTCATTATACTGCAGTTAAATGCATTTTGAAAGGAACTAAGTCTGTTTAAAAGCATTTAGGGATGCAGATTGGATAGGTGATCCGAATGATCAAAGGTCTACAACTGGGTTAGTTGTTTTCTTGGGCTCGAATCCAATATCTTGGTCATCCAAGAAACAACAAACTGTTTCTCGATTGTCCACAGAAGCAGAATATCGGGCCATGTCATCCACTGCAGCTAAACTTGATTTGATTTAGCAACTCTCGACCTTCTTGAAGATTAAAGTGTCTTTTGCTCCTGTGCTTTTTTGTGATAATTTGTCAGTCATTGCACTCTCATTTAATGCGGTTCAACATCAAAAGACCAAGCATATTGAGATTGATGTTCATTTCATTCGTGAAAGGATTGCCCAAAAGAAGTTGTTTGTGCAGTTTGTGTCTTCCCGAGAGCACTTCACATATATTCTTACTAAAGGGATTAGTGCTCCTCTCTTTCAAACTTATTGCAGCAATCTCATGCTTGGTTCTTCACCGTGAATGAGTTTGAGGGGGGATGATAGAGATAATACATAAGCTTGGAATGTATAGGATTGTGACACATGTAATGAGCTTATATAAGTTAGTTATGGTTGTTAGAATGTATAGCTGCGGAAGATTCTTGTATAAATACCCTCATAATGTATTAGCTTGGTTGCTAAGAAAAGAAATAACAAGAATTAGTTTCGTTCTCTTTCTAGATTTTCTACATTTAAGCTTCTCCTTCTTGGTTAACATGAAATACGGATTGGCTATGAAGTTATGAGATGATTGTTATATAAGTAGTTAAAAGAATTCACTCATGTATCTTAAAAGAAGTTTTGATTTTCCTGCCGCAACATCGATTGTATTTAAAAAAAAATGAAAATAAAAGGCATGCACAAGAACTTGAACAGAATAATCTTACTGGTTCAACGAGGGGAGTCGTTATGAGCCAAGGTGCCACACTGTTGGTCCTTATGTTATCCTTCGCCCACTCGCATGCTAAGTTTTTTGCTAATTGATTCATTGCACCTAAGATACAATAAAGAAAAACCACATTTTGGACTAACATTAAAAATCACACACCAAAAACAGTGTAATCAAATTTTAGGTTAGTCTAAAAGTGATATAAACAAATATATGATACTTTTAAAAATTTTAATCTGATATAAGGTGTTAGTGTAAAAGTGATATTTTTTTTTTTTTAAAGATTTGAATGAATTTTTAACTAATTATAAACAATATATGATACTTTTCAATTTTTAATAAATGACGAAATGTATATAAGGAAATTAACTATAAGCACCTTTAGCGGCAGAATATATAGATGCACCATCTATTGAGACCACACCAGCAGTGGAGGACAAAAAAAACAATGCTAGCAGCTCCTGCAGCTTTGAGAAGAGGATGTGAAAGTTGGCAAAAGTTGTAAGCAGATTCAAGATTGGTACTCATTATGAATGAGTAATCTTCAGCTGTGTACTCTAGCGTTGCTTTCGGTAAGTTAGTCCCCACATTGTTTATCTATAACAAGACATTATTGAAAAGGTTTAGCATAACACAACGATTTTAGCTTATATGTATTATTGAAAAAATGCATGAAAATTATGTGTATTAAATGTAAAAAAGTACATACATACGTGTACACATAGTTTTAAAAAATGTACAATTTTACAAATTATTGAAATTTGAAATGTTAAGTTTGTCATGAAAGTGTGATGATGATTCGTGATTCATGCACATATGTTATTTCAACTGATTAGTCTTCTACTTACAAGGATGTTGAGTTTGCCATCAAAAAGTGATGAGACCTTGTTTATAAGCTCCTCTCTTTCGATTTTTGACACCACATCACAGATTGAGCCAGTGACTTGAAAACCCTTCTTCTCCCACTGACTCAGGCAGTCATTAAGGTCAACCTCATTTCGGGAACAAGCATGCACAATTGCACCCAGCCCTGCCAATTCCTCCACTATCGCATACCTAAATAAAACTTTACTAATTTTACACAGAGCATTAAAAAATAATTCAAACCCATAATTCTAAAACAGAAGAAAACATGGGACAAGTGGAGAAATAGAGAGAATATTGCATTGGATGCATAGGAAAATTGAAACTAAAAGAAGATTAATGTTCTTAAGTATTCAAATTTAGAGAAGCTAACCCAATTCCTTTGGTTCCACCAGTGACAAGAGCTGTCATTCCACGAAGAGACCATCTCCTTTCTCTGCTATTCATCTCTATCTGCTCTCTAATCTATCTTTATGCAAATACTTTGTGGTTTCGACTATATTTCTTTTCGATAGGATAATTATTGTATATTTTGGTGGCCAGGGAAAAGTACGCGTGCCATCTGTTCATTCAGCAACTTGCAACATTTTGTTTGCTTGTTTTGATGTGGCAAACTATGCAAATTGATTGTCCAATTTTAATTTCACTAATTATATTTCATCCAATTTCAACATCGTACAATGTCTTTCTATTTCATACAACTTTCGATTCAATTATTACACGGTGGTCCAATAGTTCATGACGAATTCTAGACTCGTATTCTATAAAGCTCATTTTGAATTTGATTTATGACATTAATGAATCATACACTATAAAGAATTGAAGTTTAAAGAACACTATTTCAACGAACTTTTGGAACTAGAAAGCAAAGACACATAATTTTAGACCTAGAGAACAAATGTAAATTATTACAGTTCGTCCAGAATGAGATCGATGTGTTTTTGGTTTATTTTTCAGCAAATAGACATGTCATTGAGAGTATTGTTTAAAGGCATACAATTCCTCCTCCACATTTTTTTAATGCAATCTTGTTAACAGAATGAGTTTAATACTCACACGACAATACGTAAGAATCTCGGCTGATGGGATGCAAATATGGCTCCATTTGAAACTACTTTTTTTTTCTTTATTATTTATTTATTTATTTATTTATTTTTAAAGTACTTTTTCTTATAAGCGTTTTCAGAAGAAACATATAGAAATTTTTAATAAAATGCAAGTGTTTCTTAAAAAAAACCTTAAACATTGCATAGCATGTTCTTCTTCCAAAAAACAGTTCAAGTACTTTTTAAACAAAAAAACATTTTAAACTATTTTTACTTAACATTATCATCCCTGCTAGTGCCTTAGTTATTTAACAGCATTTCGAATTGGAAACAGGCCCTACAACAAGCTGGACATATGAAGTTTTGAGAATAGTTGATGAGCAAGTTGTCCAAACCATATTTATGTAATCTATGGAGGGTTCAGTTGATGTTGCTTAAAGCGTTTTTCTGACATCTCTCATCTAAGTTCACCTCACCATTTAAATGAATTATTTTTTAATTTTTAATTGAACGAAAAGAAAAAAAGGGGCATATTTCATGAAACGTAATAAGATTCCTATCTTAATTTTTTTCCAAGAACCCAAAAAAAAAAAAAAAAAAAAAACTTGAATCGTTGAGCATTGATAGAGACATGCCGTCCAGTAATCCAGAAAATTAATTTTATGATCAGCCATGTAAGGAAAACGATGATGTGCAATGCTTCTTGAGGAGTTTTGTTGTTTCTCAATAAAATATATTTATTTGAATTTCCTGCTTCTTGGACTACCTATTGCTTGAAGTTTGCATATATAGATTATAGAAGCATTTTCTATTGTTCTAATCATACATGTCGATCATTTCCAATGAACTGGCGATCTTGGTAGTGTTGTTTGGAGGATGTCGGAGTCTTCTATCCATCCAGTTTGGGGGTTGTTTGGCCGATCTCAGGCGTCTGTTGGGAACGGTGGTTTGAGATGGTGGGTTGGTGGCGTTTTGGCAGTGGCGGAGTAGCAGGCTGCTAAGATTTGTTGCGGTTTTTTGGGCCAAAACCTTTGTTTTGGGCCATTTTTGCTTTACTCTGAAGGTTTATATCTGCGTTGTGTGCTTATTGTAATTGGACCTTTTTCGTTGTAATTTTGTTGTCTTGGTAAAAATTTTACCCAAAAAAAAATTCAGGCTTGAAAGCTCTTCCAATAGAACGCTACTAAATGTCAATATACCAAATGTTTGGCAATCTTTTATTTTCTTATTTAATAGCACATTAATGATGTCATCTATTTTTACATACAATAAAAGCACACCACTTTGGAATTATTAGATACGAGATTCTTTTTAGAACTGTTTCCAAGTTATGCTCCTTGGAAGAGCAAGCCATTGACAGTCACCCCGCCGTCGATGATAATAGTCTGCCCAGTAATGTAAGAGGCTGCAGGTAGGCATAGAAATGCTACCAAGGAAGACACCTCCTTTGGCTCTCCAGGACGTCCTAAAGGGCACCTAGAGTTTATCATCTCCAATTTCTTTTCATTTCGGAGAACCTGCATGCATAGAAGAGATAATGGATGAAAAGAGAATGGATGTGTAGGACACATATATTAGCGATATTCTTAATAATTGGTCAAGCTATTTGTAAACAAATTAATTAAGACTAGAAGTATCATCTAAACTCGGTGTAAACTTTTCACCCAAAAACTTGCTGTAAACAAGTTAGGTCTAAGAACCTATACATGAACAAACAAAAGACATATGGACTTTTGGCAAAACCCAACATTTTATTCCAATTTCGACTATATGGGCTTTTGGCAGACTAATCAATGAAATACGGATTGACTTGAAGTTATGAGATGATTGTAATATGGGGTGTGATATTCACACATCCTTTTAATTTTTGACCATTGGATTGGATGAATTAAAGGATTGGATGAATTAAAGAAGATCAAGAGACAGAAATCAACAAGAGGTGTGTGAGAATTAAAAAAGGGTGTGTGGATAGTACATCCCTTGTAATATATGAAGTTAAAAGAATTCACTCATGTATCTTAAATGCGGTTTTGATTTTCCTGCCGCAACATCGGTTGTATTTAAAAAAAAGGAAAATAAAAGGCATGCACAAGAATGTGATTAGAATAATCTTACAGGATCAGTGAGGGGAGTCGTGATGAACCAAGGTGCCACACTGTTGGTCCTTATGTTATCTTTCGCCCACTCACATGCTAAGTTTTTTGCTAATTGATTTATTGCACCTAAGATACAATAAGAAAAGCCACACTTTGGTCTAACATTAAAAATCACAGAACAAAAACATTGTAAATAAATTTTAGGTGCTTCTTGTCTCAACCTCTTATGCAACTAGCCACTCCTCTTTTCGCCTCAAACTCCATAGTTGCCGGTCTCTTGATCTGATTGGAGGCCGATGGCAATCCCTCGCCCCATTTTTCTAGCCTCTCTTCTTTATCCTTTCATAGATTGTTGCTTATTTATTTACGTCTTAGTATTTTTATTAATAAGTGTCTTTTTGGTGAGGTTTTTTTGTGGGTATTTCTTCGTGAGTGTTTTAAGTTTGTATTGGTGGGTAGGTTCGCTGCATGTCTTGCGCACAAAGTTAGTTTTTAATCTTATATTAAATAAGGTTGTGATTTTCACACACCTTTAACTACTTTTTCCACACCCCTTCCTATTTTTTAATACTTAATTGGTATTCTACTATTTAATCTTCCATATATACCCTTCCTACTTTTTTATGGTAATTGATGAAAGATTAAATAAGGAGGGGTATATATGGAAGATTAAAGAGTAGGATACAAATTAAGTATTAAAAAATATGGAGGGATGTGGGAAAAGTAGTTAAAGGTGTGTGAAAATCACAACCCTATAAAATATTAGTCTAAAAGTGAAGTTTTTAAGAATTTGAATGAAGGGTTTTTTTTTTTTTTTTTAATGTTTTTTTTTTTTTACAAATTAAAGACAATATATGTTTATTTTTTTATAAAGGTCAAAATTATAAAAGCAAATTAACTATAAGCACCTTTAGTGGCAGAGTATATAGATCCAACATCAATTGAGACCACACCAGCAGTAGAGGACAAAAAAACGATGTTAGCAGCTCCTGAAGCTTTGAGAAGAGGATGTGAAAGTTGGCACAAGTGGTAAACAGATTCAAGATTGGTACTCATTACGAATGAGTAGTCTTCAGCTGTGTACTCTAGCGTTGCTTTCAGTATGCTAGTCCCCACATTGTTTATCTATAACAAGATATTATTGGAAAGGTTTAGCATAACATAACGATTTTAGCTTGTATGTATTATTGAAAAAAGCATGAAAATTACATGCATCATATGTAAAAAATACATACGTAAGTGTACATCTTTGAGTTTTTTAAAAAGTACAATTTTACGAATTATTGACACGTTTATAGCAAACAGAAATATTTACAAGGATGCTAAGTTTGTCATGAAAACGTAATGATGATTCATGATGCATTCATAGATTGAAAACGTGATGATGATTTAGGAATTATTGAAACGTTTATAGCAAACAAAAATATTTACGAGGATGTTAAGTTTGTCATGAAAACGTGATGATGATTCATGATTCATGCATATATGTTATTTCAAATAATCAGTCTTCTACTTACAAGGATGTTAAGTTTGCCTTCAAAAAGTGATGAGACCTTATTTATAAGCTTATCTCTTTGAGTTTTATACATCACATCACAGACTGAGCCAGTTACTTGGAAACCCTTCTCCCACTGACTCAGGCAGTCATTAAGGTCAACTTCATTTCGGGAACAAGTATGCACAATTGCACCCAGCCCTGCCAATTCCTCCACTATAGCATACCTAAATAAACACTTTACTAATTTAACATAGAACTGTAAAAAATAATTCAAACCCATAATTCTGAAACAGAAAAAAACAAGGGACAATTGGACAAATAAAGAGAATACTGTATTGCGTAAGAAAAATTGAAACTAAAAAAAAAGATTAACGTTCTTAATTATCCAACTTTAGAGAAGCTAACCCGATTCCTTTGGTTCCACCGGTGACAAGAGCTGTCATTCCACGAAGAGACCATCTCCTCTCTCTGCTATTCATCTCTGTCTGCTCTCTAATCTATCCATATGCAAATACTTAGTGGTTTATATTGTATATTTCTAATCGATAATGATTATTTGTCGTATTTCGGTGGCCACGGAAAAGTAAGCGTGCCAGCCGCCTACTAATGGTTTCTCCTTAGCAACTTGCAACTTCTTGTTTGCTTGTTATGATATGGCAAAGTATGCAAATTGATTGTTCTTCAATTTGAATTTGACTAAATTATATTTCATCCAATTTCAACATCGTACAATGTCATTCAATTAGATACAACTTCCAATCCAATTGTTACAGGATGGTTCAGTAATTGAGGACAAATTTCAAATTCATATTTCACATAGCATGTTCAGAATTCGATTACATGTGCTGGTAAATCATATAATGGTGGTCAGAGAGAGGTTGAAA